AATAGATATAATATTATTTATAATTTCTTAATAAAGTATAAATATTATATTACTATTCTTTTTAGAAGTACTATTAAATCTATATAAAACTTATCCTCTAAGTAAATAATTTAAAACTTCTAGAAAAAGCTAGAAATAGATCTAAAATATTATAGTCTCTATAATATAGTTTATAATTATCTTTATATTATCTTAAGTTCTATCCCTCTTAAATAAGTATTTAACTTTAATTAATATATCTATTATTATATATACTTTAATATAAAATCTAAAATAATTTTCTATTAACTCCTTCTTACGATCTATAATAAGTATTAAGATTAGTTTTTATTCTCTTATTTAGAGCTTATTATTCTAAAGGATATTATACTTAATAAATTAGATAAAGACTAAAATATATTAATCTATTAAATATTTAAATATAGAGTTCTTAATATTAAGGATTTCTATACTATTATTTATAGACTTATTATTAAGTATACNGATATTATTAATACTTTAGGTAATTATAATAATATTTAAGACTTAATAGAATTAGAGTTTTTAAATTTAGAACTTATTAAACTATTTAGCTAAGTTTTAAACTTTATAAATAGGTTAAACTAAACCTCCTAGATATTATTATCTAGCCTATAGGTATTATAGTAAAATTTATAAATTTAAAGAAGTTTCTTATTATTATTATTAAAAAGTAATTAGAAAATAAGAGAGTAATTAAGTAACTAAAAAACTATAGAGGAAATAGATTATAGTAATTTCTTATTATTAGAAATTAATAATATACTATAATAATATAATTTATTTCCTATATAGTTTTAATATTTTAATTTAGATTTTAATTTCTCTTTAACCCTCTCTTAGTATATTATATTAATAATATAGATTATTACCTAGAACCTAAATCGTAGTCTCTACCCTATCTATATACCTAATACCTAAATAAAAAGGCCTTACCTATTATTTATACCTACTTAGTACCTACCTAGGTACCCCTCTATACCTATAGATTATATAGGTATATACCTATATAGATATCTATAGATAGTTTAAAGCCTATATCCTCCACAGCAACCTGAAACCCTAAGTATTCAAAGTCTGGATGTTAACCCTAACGCCCCCTAAGTCCCAATAACTATTCCTGACGTGGCTCTGAAAAGACCCGATCCCATCTCGCCTTCCCGCCAGCAGACATACCCATCGACGAGCCCAACGTACACCAATAGGGCCATGATGATGTCCACTGCAACGTAATCCCCGCGAAGATACATGATCAGCTGCACCATTCCCAAAACAGATAACCGAGCGCCATCAAGAGTAAAGCACGCCTGCGCAATAGTCGACTGTGCGAATCTTTCTGGAAGCCCGAACGAGCGAATTCCAGCGTCTTCAGCGAAGAATGGAACGACTCCGCCGATGGTGTGGGCAACAGCCACGAACAGCGGGAATAGATGAGCGAGCTTAAAACGAGGCGGCATATCTGCTTATGGTGGACTTGAGCGTACTGATACGCGACCTGGAGCTTTTGGATGTAGTACAAGGTATTCAAGGATAGAAGTTTCCAAAGCGTTTGTTCCGTGAGAGTTCGGTGCAATCTTGGATCCAGGAAAAGTGTGAACCATCTGACATCACGTGGTAGTAAGCACTAAGACCGGTCTACCCGTCAAGTGAGTATCAGTGATTTCACTAATGACTGATTTTGGAAGTGGTAGTAAGTAGTTGGCCACTCAAGCCAGGTATGAAAGGAGAACCTATTCGCCTTTTCCCTGAAAGTGCTCATGTCAAACCGTGTCAGCTATCTGGCCAACGTGTTGAGTTGTAGCAATAGAAACTATTCAGATACCAGTATCGCAAAGTCCTCTTACTATCTGTAAATCCTGTTACCCAGAATTACGTAAAGTATTTCAAGGCGCGACTGAATGCGTGTATGCTCTACACAGAGATCCCCTTAGAGTGTTTCTTTTTTCCTGTTTGCAACTGCTTCCGAATGCTGATTAAATATCTTCACTGGACAAGTCGGTTTCCCCCAGAAGACGTGCCCCGACCCGGCATACCTCGGGAACTGCTCCGATCAACTTTTCTGCATCCGCGAAATTGATCCCCGGCGGGTCAATATCTGGAAACTTGATCAAGAATTTGACTGCGGGAATCATTTCCGTCTCTGGGTTGCTCGAGTCTTCCAAAACGGGAGTGTCCTCTGGAATTCCACTCAGCTGCTTATATGCCTTGTTTAATGTCGCATCTGCGAGTCCTTTGCCGTCATGTTCCCACCACCTCATCAAGCAATCAAAACAATAGCTTCTGTCCCAGTGACACGTTGCGTCCATTCTATGTCGCGAAGTCCATGACGAGCCTCCGTTGGCCATCACGAGAGAGGCAAGTTCGTTCAATCGACGTCGATCATGCAGATCGACAACTTCCACAAAATGAGTTGGGGTGTCACATGCTGAAGCTCCGCGCATGTTCTCGTAGGTCCATTCCAATGTCTCATTCTCGTTTAGGAATGAAGCAGAGGCCTTCAGATTTCTTGATGTCCGAGTCCTCAAAGGATAAATCGTCCCGTAGCGGGTTGGTTTGTCAGAGATTACAATGACAATTGTTTGCACAACGACCCGTATCGTTTGGGCTAGATCAATGCTGAGGCTAAGGTGCTCGTCAAAATGCCCAAAAGCATACTTGTTCGCGAGTTGTTCTAAAGACAACGCAACGCTCTCGAAAGTTGAAAGCGCGTCATCAAGCCTGATAGTAGAGCCGTAAGCGTGAAAGTGATATGGTCCCATGCTCAGTCTGTCAGACGATGTGATCCATGCCATCCGTCTCATTTCGGCGTCCTCGTCTAGCCACATCCACCCTAGTTGGTCGAAGACTGCGTGCATGCGCGGCCTGATGACTCCCCAGGCCTCACGACACGCAAGTGCGGGTGCGGGCATGGGCAGGCGGCGATTCCAGCACACAGCCTCCATCAAAACGTCGCTGATGTGCATTGTTCGTCGTGGGATGGAAAATAACCAGATCGCTTGACGAATCTCTGGCGGTAGTTCTCGGAACTTTGGGAAGCTTTCAGGGGACGCAGAAGCTGGAAGACTTCTAAAACTATCGGCTTTATCGAAGAGCTCAGTTATGAACAGGCGGTCGACGGACAGGTTTCCGCCAACCATGGTATTCGCCAGAAGCTCTCTCAGGATATCCTGAGGTTGTCGAGGGGTTGGATCCGGCGAGTCGAGGGATTGGTTGAACCACGCATGTTGCAAATGCTTGCAGCTTTTGACTCTCATGGTGAGAAACTTAGGAGGAGGGCGAAGCCTTAGTCTGGGAGTACAATGGGTCGATGAGTTGTCTGGTCCGGATGGCCTTTTCCTCGTGTGTCCGGCATCTACTTGTAGTGTATTGCTGCCTAGTAATTGTCAATTCTGCCTAAACCAGACAAGGCATAGTGACAAAAAGACGGTGTGTCCTTCACGGATGATTCAATCCCTAGCCAATTGGCTCATCAAGAGACATCATTTGCGATCGGTCCTGTTATTCAAGTCATGGGCCTCCTGCGAGCCTTGAGGCAGCAGATTGTAGGACTGCATCGATGAATAAGCGGGGCGAATGATGAAGTGCAAGGTACGTAGGACACGAGCGACGCCCGTTGATGTTTTCGTTCATAGAATGAGAAACCTGGCTTCATTGCTAATGGGAAATGCAGTGAAGTCTTCGCAATATCTGGACTTAGTGGGTATCTGGGCCGGTGTCGTGATTCAAGCCAGGGGGCCCATCCTGAGCTTCTTTTCTGGGTCTACGCAAACCCTTCAAACCATCGGCTGGGGTCCTGAATTGAGTCGTGAGATAAAGACTAACGACAACAAGATTGATCCAGGCCGGCTCGCTGTCATTTTCGACTTGAAAGACACGAGACATTCGGCTCAAGGAGTCTTTTCACACAGCCGCCGGCCCGCCTCGTCTATGCGGAGTCGGCGACTGGGCGATGGCACGGAAGACCCTTAACCCCCCGGCTCAATCCCCATCGCGAAGTCAAAGCCCCCGGCGCTTTGACAACGGGCTTTGACATCATTCCGTCTTTTCAATCTGTGTAGATCCAGTAGAAAGGCCGAGTTCCACCTGTTGATTAACTCGATTCCACGTTGTTTACAGGACAGGCCGACTTCGATGCCGATCTCTGCATCCACATACGGAGCGCGACTCTTTCGGACGCTGAGGCGCCGGCGCATTTTCCACAAGACAAACTTCAAAAGTCCGCATCCTTGCTGTGAACTCGACTTCAGGGCAGCTCTGCACTGTTCACCTGCTCGCCCCACGCCTCGCTACCAAGATCCAACGTCCTTCCACGAAACATTTGCGCCCAATATGGCACCCTGAAGTTTGGTTCAGACAGAACTGCCGCGCGCGGTCCTTCGCGACCAAAAACAACCATCCGCAGCGAGAAAAGTCGCGCATAGTTGGCGTGCGAGAGTCAGGGCCGGTGGATGAGTAAGGACGGGATTCAAGAAGCACCTCGGGTTTTCGAAATCGCCGAGCGGCGGACAAGATGGCTGCAGTCGGTTTCCGCCAAGACTCTGAAGAGGGACTGCCCGGTCGCAAGCATAGACGCATCCATCGTGTCGGTTCTCCCGTGGGACGAACTCTGTCCGCACTCTATTTTTCGGTTCATCCGACACGAAAAGGTCTGGTGCAATGAATCGTCTGGTAGGAATCGGAATGGCACCAGACGCCTGATCCAGACGGCTGGATATTTATTGAAAATCGAAATCCATCGGAAGTTAACACACGAAGCTTATCTCCGGGCCGCTGGTCGCCCGCGCGGAGTTGACTACTTGTTGCAATGGGCTCTATCCACAAAAATGCTGCGTGCCGAAAAGTGTTGGTGGCTTGGTGCAGGATCCGATGGACCGACCGATCATAAGTTCCTGCAGAGCGGCTGAGCGAGTTCTGCAGAGGCTGCAGAGGCTCCAGCCGCCCACTTCTACCGCAGTACTAATGCATAAGAGGTCCCGTTGAGAAAAGCGTCGGGCGTCTCAGAGTTTACGTGAGTTCAGGTTTGCAGTCCCAAGCTGCGACCTTGTTGACACTTAAATCACCTCAAGGCGTATCAGTGCCACCAAGAAACCACGTGCGGGCGGCTTAATGCTGACGCAACAATATAATGGTCACTATTTTAATATGCAGGACGGCAGGTATGGTTGCAGTATTGGCCAAACTGCGAGTCAGGCTGCGAATTCGGCTACTCTTCCGGATTAGCACCAATACCTTGTGTTTCCTCCACAGGAATAGGCGACTGGCCAGGGCCAGGGGTTCGTTTCGGGAAGATGGGGAATCGGTTCCCAAAAAGGCTCCCGCGTCGAGAGCGAGTCATCTTCCCATGCAATAGGATGCCATCTTGGAACCCATATGGGCCATATCGGATGACAAGCAGCAGCAAGCAGGAAATCCCGCCAACACCGCGGCCGTCAACCCCCACCAGGGGGCTGCGATGCCCCCTGGTGGGCCGTTTCGAGATGGCCGTCGGGTGGTACATCAAAAACGTGGCGGTCCCCGTCTGAGCGAGCAGAGGGAAGCTCGGCCCCTCCGTTCTGGTTCTTGCTGCTCGTCATGCTATTTTGGATTCCATCGATGACGGTGCTGCGCGAGAGGCAGTCGTGATGGTGTTCCAACTCCCGACGGCCGTCCTGCCAGACGCCGCCGGGGTCATCTTCTATTCTTTTGTTTGTCTAATTGCCAACATTCTGTTGGTGTGGCTGACCTGGATTCACAATGACAGGACAAGCTGTATGTACAAACGCCCTTCGTCTTCGTCCGATACGAGGCCGCCATCGAGGCCGCCATCGAGGCCGCCATCGAGGCCGAGCGTGTAGACCAATGAGACTAATATCAGACGACCACAGACATCGCCTGTATTTCGTATGCCACTTTAGTCGTCACCACGACCAGCATTGCACAACAATTCTACGACTACGCGTTATGGAGAGACATCCTGACGGATCAGTTCTACTACGCTAGGCAACATGCCGACAATTCAGAAGTTCAGTACTTCAAGGGGTCTCGAGGTGTCAAACTCATCTTGAGCTACGTCCGTATGTTTACTTGGGGACGGAAATGATTCAGCAGTGCCTGACAGACTTTGCAGGAATATTCGGCTTCACTCTCGAATCGACTTTTGTTTTCTTTTTGTAGGTCAATTCACCAGACTTGATGGGAAGGGTCAAACATCTGACTTTTGATAGCGCTTTGTCATTGGCGGCCAGTGTCTACGGGTGGTTTGCGGCGACCCCGAGGACGACACGAACAATCTCTATCATTGGCAGAGTCTTGCCCTTCATACTTACAGCAATTACCGTCGGTTTGATGCACTCGCCGGTGGCACAAAATTCATTCTTAGTGTACATGATTGTTGCGAATACGCAATGTAAGCGGGATCTCACAATATCTTGCAAGACGGGACATCCGGACTAACTTGCAATGCAGTCGTGCTTAGCCTCCTGGGTAGCGCTGTCTTACTACTCATGATCTTGTTCAAATACGTCCACTCGCGCCGAAACCTTCAGACATGGAATGTCCTCTATGGAAATGCCGGTTCTTTGGAGAGCAGCGCAAATGGCAGCAAGTCGCGGTCTGTTTGGCTGGGCAGCAATACGAGCCGAAGTGGTGGAGGAAGGAGTCGGGCTTACAGCGGCGCTGGCGCCAACAATACGTACGACAGCTGGCTCGTCATCCGGCTTTCCATTGCATTTTGCGTTCTTTGGTAGGCTTTTGGTGCCCTGACTATTTTCAGCCATAGGACTAATTCCAAATGCAGTGTCTTTGAGTACACCAACGTTATCCCGAAAATTGCAGCCTCAAACCACACCATCGATCTCGCCGACGACTTGCAGCCCGATCTAAGCGACAAGCGAGGACGTTCGAGCGTCCGAGGATATGTATCTGGTGTTACGCCGAGTCTCGTCGCGTTTCTGGTCTTTGGAACTACGAAGACATTCCAACGAAAGATGTACGAAACGTTCGTCCCGAGGAGTCTCCAGAAGCGGAGGAGGGCAAAGAAGAATCTGTCCATATCAGTCGGCAACTCGAGACAATCGCCGCACGTACAACCCACCAAGCGACCAAATCAGGCAGTGGACCAATTTACTCTCAGCGATCTCACACCGAAATTTCCCATGGGAAACTACAGCCCACAATATTCTAGTGACGGAAACCTAAGCCCCAGACAACCACACGGAATGCAGTCAAATCCCGGTTCAAGAGTCGGGTCGCCACGGTATGCGCCCAGTTCACGATATGTGCCTAGCTATGCACCAACTACATCAACGTTCGCTTCTACTCCAGGATACCCGCAGCCCAGTCCAGCAGGCCTTTCGGCACCTCCACCACCACGGCCACCTCGACCGATGACAGGGTTGACGGGGGTCAGCGTTATCAGCCCAAGTCTGCACTCGAAATTCTCAAATTTCAGTCGTCCGCATACAATGATGACGACGAATAAGGAACTACCCAAAACTCCGATTGAGGAGGAGAGCTTTCCTGAGAGATTCCGTTACGCGTAGCCGAGACGCAGGTTTCATGCTGAAGAGGAAATAAGGGAGGTGTATACTACCATGTAATAGATTACATAGATAATGACTTCAGTTCAATGACATATTCTTGTGGATAATGATGCATGCCCTTGATTTTCCTCACTTGTCGAGTGTGCTCTGGTCCGAGATGGAAAGATTGCGTCGTACCACTCATATTCTGCGACAAGCCTCCCCTTGCAACTTAACAGCAAGAGAGACTAATCAAGAGATCCATATGGCTAATTCTATCAGATCTCACATTCTAGAAGCCTTCCTGTCTGGATGAAGTTTGGGTGTGATCGACGTTTCAACCGTGGTTGGTCATGCATCAAAACACATGATCCTCACCCGAGATCCTCGTACAACACTAGTGGCCGAAATAAGAACGAGAATCTACTAGGTGCGATACAAGCAAGAAAATTGTTGTTAAATCCGCGGCTCATGATGGAATTCTTTTGTCCGTGGAAAAAAGACTGAATTTGAGCGCCATCACCAAGTGAGGTGCCCGTTTGAGACTATCCCAGTGTGGCTGCTGATTTAATCAGCTCAAGATGAATACGAAGAGACCGCAAAACTGCTATACTAGCCTTCTCAATTCAATAGAATACTTCTAGAATCATATACGCACAATTATAGCCCATCCCCAGGACGCCATGGGTATTGAGTATCGGCACAACGATTCTTCCGGGGTCCTTCCCTCCTCTCCCTGTGTCTGTTCTCTCTTCAAGCATGCGTGAAGTCCCTCTTTTCCACAGCGGTTCTGTTCCCGGTCAATCGTTCATTGACAAAAGAGCGAACCGCCTCGTAATAACCCGGCGACATATCCCCATAGTCGATGCAGTCAGAGCCGCACGGCACAGGCACGGCACGTTGTCCTTCAAGTGATCCAAGAGCTGTGGCCATATTCATGCACGCCGGAGGAAGACCAGTCACGCGGATATGGTTTTCATTGATAGGTCCATTGACGTTGATCGGCGTGTTCGAAACCTTGACTTGGTCGAAACAAGCATCCCAGGCATATTGAGAAGCTCCTGCGGGAGCGCTGCCAGATCCATCTTCTTCTTTTCGCCTGCTGATCTCTGCTTCAATCTCCATGGCCATCCGGCGGGCGTGTAGGAAGGCAACGTCGGCGCGTCGGCCCTTGCCGCCCGCCTTGAGTCCTCCCCTAATGATCCCGGCGACTTTCGTGCCTGCGACAGTTGCGATGCCCATGAGAGCTGGTGGTGCGGAGGTGCCTTGAAGGAAGACAATTGCGGTGAGGACTACGCCGGCAAAGATTGCGTTGGTATGCATCTTGTTGATTAAGAAAGAGTGAAACTCCGGGCTTGGTCAAGAAATAGTTGATGGTGACGATGGTCCACGGGGACTAGATGAGAGCCAAGATAATTGAGATTGGCGAAATCTTTATACAAACGAGGTTGTATATCCACGATCATATGCTTGCGACAACAGCAGAGGCATTATTCAGCCCGTTTTCGTCCAGGATGCACACGTGCACCTACTCAACAGACGATTTCTTTCTTCCCTTCTAACGTTTTCTTCGCAGTTTGCCGCCTGGAGGCGCACCTTGTTGACTGCCGTATGACTCTCACGGGGAAATATTCGAGGGCCAGGAGTTACCGTCCGACCGACTTCTTTGATGGCTTGTTCGAGTTGGGGTGGGGTATCTGGGGAGAAACAAGGGCTGTACGGTTACTGATCCCTTTGAGGTGGGGTTAAATGGTTGTTTGCTCCCATGAATGGAATTGAATCAATCCGAGGCTTCATATTGTCGTGCAAAGCCGTTCTACCAAACAGGAGGCGGTCCACCTCGAACATGTCTTGGTTAATTTACCTAAAGCCCTCTCGTTCAATGTGTCGCCAAGATGGTTTGCCATATGAGCCGCTCATATTTAATGACCGCAGCAGTTTAAGTCACAGCCAATTCACGGTTGGCTATGTCTCAATGTGAACTACTCCCGTAATATACTGCTGATCGAAACACTTGCTCCATACCGTCCGCGTTACACCTCATATGGTAGGGTCCGTTTGACTAGACCATGCCACCCCGTCGCGTCCCCTCCGTCTTGCGCCTTCTTGAACACGGCTTCATGGCCTGGAAGACCTTAAGTCTTGCTACCAACTGCGCCTACCCAGCAATGGTAGTCCTCTCAGAGTCGATGGAGCCTGCTTTCTCCCGAGGAGACGTCATCTTTCTTGCCAACTGGCAAGACGTCAACGTCGGGGACATCCCGGTGATCTGGTTTCAGGGACAGCCCCTCCCTATGGTGCATCGAGCCGTTGAGGTCCTGTTCGAGTAAGTTTGGGCAACCGAGGTTCTGCATCCGATAAACTACTTTTTCGTCGAACGATATGCTCTCTTGGCAAGGGCGGTGATCGTAGTGTCGTGAAACATATTGGTCTGACAAGCTCTTCAGTAATGGCCAGGAGCGATTGGTGTTGACAAAGGGCGACAACAACGAAGTCAATGATGTGGTGCTGTATCCCTTTGGTCAGACACATGTACGCCAAGACCAGGTGGTTGGGCTCGTGCGAGGTTACCTCCCATACGTAGGGCGGTTGACAATCGCTGTCCAGGGACTGTTATCACGCTTCCGTCCCGGTCTGACACTCTTCCGGAAGATGTTTCGTTAGTTTGATGCGTTAAGAACAAACAAGAAGGGAAATTTGGCTCGGTGTTACAAAGCTAATCATTCGTTCGACTGCACCAACAGACCGGCTGCACATTTGGAATGATATTTGCGGTCGAGACCAAGTTTGATGATATGAAGATAGGCTCTTGCTAGTATCTACAAGAGAAGTGCTTGATATACCAGAACATGAGATCGTTTTATGACTTTGCTGATTGACCATACCAGATAATTACCCTGCTTATCATGGCATTGTCAGAGCTTTTGTCCGAACATGCCCTGAGGCCGCCCCTTCTTTTCGCAGCCTCTGCAACTCTAACAACAGTGGTCTTACACCTTCCGAGTACTATTCACAGGCTGTTTGTTTTACCAGCATGGCTACTCGCAGGATGGTCATTGATCTCTGTTGATGAGGAAAACGCATCATCATTGATTGGCCTAGGCTCATACACAGTGATCACAAGCTTCATATTCATGCTCATACTGCCCAACATCCTCCTCGGACAGAGCTGCTCAGTATTATGCGACCAACCAAAGATACGAAGGAGAAAATATTGGCCTCGGCTGCAAACCATCTCAAAGGCATGCTGGATCTGGAATAACCCTCGTCACCTGCTCTTTCGCCTTAACACCTCGACGACATGGTTTTCTCGCGCTCTTTTCCTCACTCGGCGAGCATTGAAAGTCGGCCTCCTTCTCGTCGTCAACAGTTTTGTGGATAGAGCCCGCATATACCTCAAGGCCGACCTCTTAGACTTTACTCCGGATAAATACCCAATCATCCGCCCCATGATCTCGCAAATCATCTTCGATTGCAGCCGTGATGACTGCACATACCACCCAGTCTCACAACGCCAGATTCTCGTGCGCATCTTTGTGGTATTCTCCTGGTTATGGTCCAATTTCCTCATCCTTGAATCATACCATGCCCTCCTCTCCACAATCTTCGTCCTCCTCGGGATCGACAACTCAACAGACTGGCCACCTCTCTTCGGCAGCATAGCCGATGCCTGGACCGTCCAACGCTTCTGGGGCCGCTTCTGGCACCGCATCGCGACACCTACACTTACAACATGGACACGCACCATTCTGCGGATCAAGCACGAGCCGCAGACCGCATTCGAAAAGGCGGCCGTCGCATTTGGCGTGTTCTTCCTCTCTGGCATCATGCACATGACGGCTGCCTGGAGAACCGGCGAGGGATACCTGCACTTGGACGTGATGTTCTTCTGTGCTAATTTCTTTGCGATCGCGGTTGAGATCGTAGTGTCGCGCGCGTGGATGCAGGTAGTCAGACGAGCGAAGCTGAAGCCTGGGGCGGAAGCACGGTTGTGCCGAGCTAGTTGTTGGTTTGGCTACTTGTGGACCTTTGCGTGGTTCTTTTGGATGGTACCGAGGTGGTTGTATCCCAAGATGTTGCGGTGGTTGATCAAGCAGGCTCTGGCACAGTCTCATATGCGGTTGTGAGGATCTGCGGGCTAGACTTGGAACGGTAGTCATTTTCAAAGATTTCAGGTGGCATTTGTGCTCAAATTATATGCAACAGACGTGGGCTTTGTCAGAAATGTAACTGTTCAATGAAACCGTTCGCCTCACTATTGCGGTTCTCCCAGCTGCGCTAGGCAACAACCGCAAGGCAATGTGCAATTTGCTGTTTAAGTAGGACAGTCAATTCAAACATCCACAGTGGCTATGAGCCAGTATTTATGCGTACGTGAAGACTCATATCTTGGGAAATCAGACTTTGAATCGTCTACTTCCCATGAACCGAATGGTTCTGATGACTTACGTTGGATTTGCGTGGTTGATGCGGGGGCACATATCTCCCCTCGAATCCGCCTTGAAGCCGGCTAACAAGTGCAAAGTCGAACTTATCAAACCCGTTAGCCTAGTGGACGAATGCTCTTCGCTTAAGTATAAAACCCTTCTAATCTTGTACACTGTTCATTGCCATATTAGCTGTGTCGCACTCCATACCACTCTTCACCTTGACTGGTTCTCATCAGTCAAGAAGGCAAGATGACGAAACAAGCCAAATCAAGCAAGGTTTCGAAGAGATCCAAGCAGAGCAACCCGTGGAGTGATTGGATATGGTCGGAAGACCATGGTCGATACTATTGCTACCGGACCCGTAGCAACGGAGGTAAGTTCGCCTGCTTCGCTCAGTCCTTTACCAGCAGCAAAGCTGATATTGAGCAAGAAATCGAATATGAGTGGGACGAAGGAGAACCCACCGAAGAGCGTGCAGTCGAGCAGGCTGTTGAGAAAGATAGTCCCGGTGACCGCACACCTATCCCGGCGCGGAGCGGTCCTATCGTGAGATCGGAGATTACTTACACGGACAACGAGGGCAACGTCATCAAGATTGTTCACACATATCCTCCGGACGAGGCTGTGAAGGATGAGGTCCCTGTTGACGGCGATGATTGGGCTATTGTGCCGGCCAAGGCTGGCAACCCTGGCGTCGAGGACGATTTTGCGGATTTATTCTAGGGAGACGCGACGGAGGTCCGAAGGGATATCCGACGGCCGGTAAACGAATGAGATGCAACGAAGGATGAGTCAGATGCCAATCACGATTCACACGGCAAGCCAGCAGTAGTGTGAGAAAACATCATATATCTCATTGGAGCCCAAAACCCACAGGGAATGGACTGCTCTGCGCACTATATTACTATCCCCCATGACCGCATCATGGGAGAATGGGTATCAAGCTTCGTATCGAAGCACATTAGTCGTCATTCCGACAGAACTATTTAAACGCTCTCATGCTGAGTCTCGTGAAGTCCCTTCTTCTCGGCGTGGATAGCGTTCTCCTCCAGCTCCTCGGTGAGGCCGACGTCACGTCTGGCCTGCTGGAGCATGATGCCGTCCTCAGCGCCAGTGTTGCTGCCGAACACGCGGTCCATCTCCTCCAGGGTCGCACCCTTGGTCTCGGGCAGGCAGAAGTGTACCCAGAGAATGCCGCAGAACAGGAAGACGGCGAAGAAGAGGTAGGTTCCCCACTCCCAGGCTTCGAGCATCGAGGGCACGTAGAAAGCGACGGCGAAGTTGTTGAGCCAGTTGCTTGAAGCACCGATGGACGCTCCCTTAGCACGGATAGACAGCGGGAAGATCTCGGAGACGAGGGTCCAACTGACGGGTCCCCATCCAGCACCGAATCCAGCGATCTACAGGACTGTTAGCAACGATGTATGGGACGGTAACATGGTGGTAGGCTACTCACGTAGAGCCAGATGAAGGCGACGGCGACCCAACCTTCGACAGGGTGGCCAGGCCAGTCATGGCTGAACTTGGCGACAATAATGGCAGGGATGATCATGGAAATCAACATGACAATTGAACTGACGATCAAGATGGGTTTGCGGCCGACCTTGTCGATGATGGCCATGGCAGGCAGGGTGGAAACGAAGAAGACGACGCCAGTAACACCGGTGGCAAGGAGGGCGGTGGTGCCGCCAGTCAGACCCAGGCTCTGGAAGACGTTGGAGGCATAGTAAATGATGGCATCGATACCGGACCTGCGAAATCGTTAGCATGCAAAGGAGTCTGACTAGAGCTGCTTGACCTACCATTGCTGCCAGAACATGACCAGCCATGCAGTCGCAACACGCTTGAAGTGGGACCACGAGCGGAGAATCTGCCAGTACTGGGCAACCTCGCGCATCCAAACGCTGGTCTTCTCCTTTTCGGCCAGCTGAGGGAATGCCTTTTGGAATGAACGCTGCTCGAAGAGAGCCTCGGCCTTGATCTCCTTGAACTCAACCTGAACAAGCTCGCTCTCGACATCGAGCTTGCGGAGGTAGGCAATGGTCTTGACGGCCTCCTCGTCACGGCCCTGCTTAACGAGCCAACGAGGAGAGAAAGGAAGCCACCAAATACCGAGGGCCAAAAGGGCGGCGGGGATACCCTGGATGTAGGAGGGCAGCTTCCAGGCAAGGTCAGACTGGTCGATGCCGGTACCACCAATGTAGTTGCTGCCGTATCCAATCCAGAAAGACAACATGATGCCGAGAATGGTGGCGAATTGGTAGAAAGAGACAATGAATCCACGCATCTCAGGAGCGGCGAGTTCGGCGTTGTAGAGAGGACTGCGACAGGTTAGCATGAATGCGCCAGAAGCGAGCACCTAAGTGAGAACTTACCCAACACCGGAGAAGGTTCCGACACCGAGACCAGTGAAGAATCTGCCGGCGTAGAGGAGCTCGGGCTTGTGGTAGCTTGCGCCAGTATACAGGTAGCTACCGAGGACAACCCAAAGACAGGCGGAGAACATAGTGTACTTGCGAGAGAAGACCTCGCCGAAAACACCAGCACTGACGGAGCCCAGGATACCTCCAAGCTGGAGAATGGAGGTCAACCAACCGGTGGCGCTGGAGGAGCCGACGACGGACGGGAAGTTGTCCTTGAAGCGCGTCATGACGAGCGATTGGCCGAGCACACCTTGTTGGTATCCATATTCGAAGCCACCGAAGCTGTTTCCCCAGAGTTAGCTGGGTCATGGGCACACGAAAAGAAGCATTGGGGCCTTGTGACACCGAATGATCTTCTGGAAGATGGGAGAGGCTTACGATGCGAACAGAGCGATGACGACAATCTTGGGGTTGGAGGCAATGGTCTTCCATCTGTTCTCGTAAGCCAGCTTCGTGCGCGCCTCAGCGGCGGACGTCGCTTCGACAGCCATCGTAGTGACAGGGCAATGGCCGAGATGTGCGTCGACGATCGAGAGAAGGCGATTGAAGGCTCTCGTGCTTGTACTGGTGAAACAAGCAATCGCTAGAGACGAGCCGAGCAGACACGATAATCATGGTGGAAAGCATGGAATGACATCGGTACTTATTGTTACGGCGATTGACGCTAAGGACTGCCTTCCTGGGCGGGTTGACCAGGGAGACATCCTCTCGTGATGGGGCCGTTTTTGCCTGATCGGGATTGGATGTGTCAGGTTTTGATGCGACTCTGTTTGGAGGGCTCTGCAAACTCGAACGAGATGGGTCCCATGCTCTTGGTTCGTGGGCTACTTTTCGTATTATTGTTGCGCGGTCCTGCTAGCTTTTTCGGTCCTACTGGAGCTAGTTGGACCAGACCACCATCATCTTGCATGCTCCAGACTCATCCGCGTGTATGGGGATTTCATTGTGATGGAATGGTGTGCAGCGTGTTCCTGAATCTGGGGTTGATTAGGTCAGCCTGGAGGGAGGATCTGACATGCTTGGGTGCTTGTGTTGACCATATTCGGCCGTCGGCGTTTACCAACAAGCGATGAAACTGCTCTCGTGAACGCTGATCGGCCAAGTTTGGCAGTCTTTGGCATTCGCCCAGAGAGTACCGAGAGGCGGAGCGTTGCACAAACGAACGCCAGCATTTCCAACCCCTCAGAATCCTTCGGCACCTCCAACACGGGGAAGAGTGCGGTGTGTACTTGAGTGGCGGCGCTTCTCCGTGATCCCCCGTGGACGTCTCCGTACCCCGCTCACCCGCAAAGCGGCACTGGAGCGTCGAAGGGTCTGGCACATCACACGATTTGCTGGTCCACCCCCGCAGCGGGTTACAGACAAAATTTGAGGAAGTGCGTGCCCCTGGTCGATTGCGAGGTCGGAAAAAAGAGCCCGGAGCTATCGACCGATGCGGAAGTTGGCCGAACTGTGGATCAAAACAGAAATTGTAACCACCCCACCAAACATGAGAGACGAACCCGTTCGTGACTAATCGAGCCTTTGAGTGTGCCCATGGGGATCTGACCATGGGGGACTTTTTGGCTTCTGGGGATCCCGCTGGTCCAGATCCAACTGAGTAGAGTTGTGAGGGGAAAATCCACTCCTGCAACCCCCAAACGCGGGCAATCGGCCCTTTTGGCAGACAGCAGATCGGCGGTCGTCAATGTCGAGGGACGTCGAGGTCAAGCTCGGTCGTAAACATGGCCGCCACGTTGTTTCGATATTGAGGATGAGAGAACCTCCAACGATCCAGGATGTTCGTCGCTGGATGAGAAAAAGTCAAATTGAGCCGCACCCTTGGCGATGAGTCCAGGACACGCGCTATTACTCAAGCGCCCGCCGCTGGATGCTTCCAGACGCGCAATTATGGTTGTCGATTCCTAGAAGCTGGATTACAGGAGTCATGGAATCCCTGAGGACTGGTGTTCGTTGACTAAAAGTCCCACTCAACCGTACGCTCGACCTTGTTTGTTCGGGACAGTCTTTCACCGGTCCCTGTCATTCAAGAAAATTTCTGCACCATCAGTCTACCAGAAAGAAAGCGGTCGGCTGCCAGTCCCCGGTCGGCAGGGCCCGGCCGAGAAACCAAGCCTTTTGTCAAGGCCGTCATCAACCGTTCTCGACCGACCCAGCGGTGTTCTCTCCGGCTGTTTTGCGTCCCAGTAAACTTTGACGCTAGTTTGTTGTCGGTTTGGCAACATGACTTCGATGTCCTCGTGACCGCATCGACAAAGACAAAGCCCATTCTCTTGCCTACCAAATCCTTCAAGTGATGGACTTGTACCTGGATCTCGTTTCGCATGAAATCATCCACTCTTCGAGGTGGGGAGCTCGCGGCACGCCGCCCACTTGCGGACGAAGTCGGAGCTGCTGCACAACGACCCACGAAGTCGGTTTCCGAGATGTCGCATCCACGTACACCAGCAACGACGAGATTGATTGATGCGAGCTTGGCGGAGTCACTCATGGGTCTGATTCATGCCAGCCGATCGTCGGGTCGGATGCGGACCTATGTTCGGTCTCGTGCCGATAGCTTCTTGCAGCTGCCGTCTTGATCGTACGAATGTTGAAGCCCTCGCCCAAGACATCCCTCGTAATCGCTAGAGACCAGAAGTTTACCTCATGGGGTGGCCTTCCGCGCGGGCGTTGGCGGTCATGAGCGATGGCTGCCACCTGCAACGAGAGCAGCATGAAGAGCCACGGCTTGCGTCACGAAGGTCTCACGCTATGTAACTAAATCTCGAATCCAGCACCTCCTGGTTCATCGAATGCTTGCTTTCGGTAGTCGGTTGACCAAATGGACATTTTCAGCGCACTTATTCAACGGCACTAGCCCCCAGATCCACAGATTCAAAGCTCACATCGCGATGACACTTGCTCATCATGGAGATCCCAAAGGCTTGCGTAAAACAGAGAGCTAGAGCTGGATTGTAAAGTCCTGGCCCTTTCAACAAACATGGACGACAGCTTCAAAATGCGCTTTGACCCTCGAGCAAGCATCGAGAACTGGCCGACGGAGTACACTGGTACTTCTGCTGGTCTGAGATAAACGCGAAGTCTTGGTAAGGCTTCCTCGTTGCCTTCTAAAAAGATGAGGTGTCGTTCTTTCCACCGGATCGCTGTGGATCGCGACGGTCGCAGAAGTCATGGAGATGAACCAGATCGCCGGGTGGGAGCTGGACCTCATGCAGACGACTCATCCAGCCAATGATGGGCAATCGCTAGCCATACTATCTGCTCGAACTTTGGTTCTGCATGCACGATCTCGTCGAGAGA